CATTGACAACTTTTTGGAATGTGGTCTCTATCCCAAAATAATGTGCTTTGACTTGAAAAGTTGTGCATATTGATTAGCATGTTTGAACCCCGCCAATAAATTCTGACTCACTCCATTGCACTTTTAATCTCAACTCACTTTTCCCATTTGCTTTTTTTTTTTTAACCCACTCTTTACTTGCAGATGTGTGGATTTCCAGAATAGCAAATGGTTAGCTTGGCTAACAATTTTTGGAAATTGAAGTCCATATATTTTGAGAGTGTTCAAGAAGGGGAAGGTTGTGACTGTATAGCTTGGGAAAAGATTTGCAATACACATGCCTAGGTGTTCTGAATTGTAGCTCCAACTGCTGTAAGAATCACATTTTTTACAAACAGATTCTGAAGCCGACTATGGTAATTATACTTATAGGCCAATGAAATAAAACTTTGGCACATATTAGTTAGACCATCTGTTCAGAACTGTAGCATTATTTAAGAATTCTTCAAATTGTGGGGCTCTCTGGGAAGCATTCACAGTCAAATAAATTGTTAGCCTTGTAGCTACATTGGACACAGCTTGAGCAACTCAAGATTGTACTCAATTGAAATCCCCATGCAAAGAACACCATCAGTACATCCAGCAGGTTATCAGCAGTGGGGCAAGCAGCTGAAAAGCTCCACCTCCTTCAATACATCGATATTCTATGGTTGAAGAATACCTGAGTAAGTTTTAAATATCAATGCCATTGCTACATTTTTTTTTCTTCCATGACAGATTGGAATAACATGTGCAAAGATAGATAGATAGATAGATAGATAGATAGATAGATAGATAGATAGATAGATAGATAGATAGATAGATCAATCCCCTCTCACCCCTATGGATGTTATGTGTCTTCCTCAATCTCGGGTCCTCTTCCAGAGTCCTGGGAATTTGAGGGTTCTGAGCAGCATCTTAGCTGTTTCTAGCACTGGACTCTTCTGGAAACAGAGCTCTGATGTTGTTCCTGGGACCTGTTGGAGCCACTTCCCCAGCTTAGGAGCCATAGCCCCAAGTGCTCCTACCACCACTGGGACCAATTTGACCTTGACTTTCCACATCCTCTCTAGTTTTTCCTTTAGGCCCTGGCACTTCTCCAGCTTCTCATACTCCTACTTCCTAATGTTGCTATCACTTGGCACTGCTACATCTATCACCACCGCTGTCTTCTGGTCTTTGTCTCCTACCATGATGTCTGGTTGATTGGCCAGTACCTGCCTGTCCATCTGGATCTGGAAGTCCCATAGGATCTTAGCCCTGTTATTCTCAATGAATTCTGTGGAACCTCCCATATGGACTTGGGGGGGGTCTAGCCCATATGCTGTGTAGATGTTCCTGTACACAATGCCAGCTACTTGGTTGTGCCGTTCATTGTATGCTGTTCCTGCCTGCATTGCCACTATGTGTTGGACTGTCTCTGAGGCCTCTTTGCACAATCTGCACCTTGGGTTCTGTCTAATGTGGTAGACCCCTGCTTC